TTCAACGGAACTGCCCGAAGCTAACATGTTCAAAAGTGCGAAAGAGTGAGATGACTGGTACCTATGGGAACCTTCCTGGGGAACAAACGATAGGTTGAGACACCAAGAGAATAGGAGAGCGGCAACCTACGAAAGACCCACGATTTTGCTTTGAAATAAGAATACTGGAGGAACGGATGAAACGTATGGAGGACAAGGAAGGAATGGCTGAGGTCTTATGCACTTTGTACACCTGATGAATCAATTAGAGTGAAGTGCACAAAACGAGTTTCAATAAAAGCTGACTTTAGTACAAGTCTGCAATGTCGCGTACTGAGCTAGCACGGATTTTTGCACACAACGTGTGCTCATTAAATCAGCACTCGCTGCAAATAGAGCATGCAGCTTTACTCTCGCTGACTTCTGTGCTCGTTACCATGGCGTTTTGTTTATAGCTATCTCACTATCTAGTTCCGCTCTTCAACTTTTGAAGTCCAGTTTTTCAGGACAGTTTGATACAAACTCAGCGTATTTTGCTTATCTATAGTTTTGTTTGTTGTATTCGCATTTTCTACATTTAAAGCAATCCAGTGTTGTGCACTGAGTAGTGGAAGTTCGATTGCTTTAGGAATGGTCGAGATACGTGAGGAATCGACTGAACCTCTGAATGGTTCTGGTTCGAGCTCAGCAGGGACATCTGGTCCACAGCCGAATACCGGAACATCCCAGGGAACCATGACCCTCTCGGCAAGTTTCACTTGAGATTCGCATTTTCTTCGCTTATCGTAATAACTCTCATTACAGCAGTACGTTTCTGCCAACATGATGGATTGCTGCTTGCTTGTTACCAGACTGATGACATTATTCTTCACTTTATGCTATTTGATACCATTCCTGTCTCCGGTATCTGCAGATTCCGCTTACTACAAGGCGTTCGCTGCTGGTGAGTAAATACGTCATTCTTTTCAGCGTTCATGCAATATCTTAGCAATCTATGAAGGTCAGGTTGAAAATCGTACTTTATAATTTTTGACATTTGCATTTTTTTCATTGATGCAATGATGTGGGAATGCTCTTTTCAAGCCGACCTGCTTCTTGGTCTTTGTAGAAGCTGCACATGTTTTTACTGCTATAGCTCGTCATCGTCACAGCGAAATCCAATAAATGTTCTTGCTTTGTTTGGTTGTAGAAAGATTTTAGAAGTAGTTATAAAGCTAAGCAGTAGTTGAAATTGGACTGCTAGAATGCTACAAACTTAGTGGATGTGAATTGATTTGAATCCTATACATTTCTTAAAGTAAAAATATATAGGTAGCATGTACCTTTCCTACAAAGCTCTAATTATAAGTTGAACGACTAAATCTCTTTGATATTGCATTGACTATATCTGTTTCAGCGGCTGCCACCAATGCTCTTCGTATGCAGCAAAGAGTGGGAACTGTCTCATTCAGTCGTGAATTCCTTTCTCGTCTTCTTCTCGAGGACAGCTGTCACTATCTTTTCTATTCAATCTTATTCCTGACTTCGGCACCGGTCACCATGGCTCTTCTGTCAGTGTCACTGTTTGCAGCTCTTCATGCTGCAGCACAAGTGGTAAGCTACTCGCTGTTGTACGACTTATCATCAGAATTTTTGTTTTATATGTTTCAGCTAATGAACCAATAATCCTAAAGGTGCTAGATTTGCATCCAAGCGCTTCGGCCGCATTGCGGTTCCTGCTATCTGATATTTTTGAATTGGCGTTACGATTCCTTATATATTAGATTAGATTAGATAGATTCGTATAGCGCGCCGACTCTTAGCAAACCAGCAATTCAGTAAAAATAGTTGTTGGCGTTTCATATCACGAATATCATAATAACCAAAGTATAAAAACCCGACTGTTATTTACTTTTATGTTGGACCAATAATTTAGTCTGAAAGTTTATCACAGTTTGTTTGGTGTGGGAAAGTAACAGCAATGTATTACAGTTTATTGACTCTAAAAACGGTACTAAAATGCTCGCAACACTTACGAATCATAAGCGGACATTAGTATGTGCGTAACCGGTGCTGCAGTGGAAGTCTCGACTGTTCTTGCACACATTTTTGATATGATTTTATTTCACAGGTCAAACTGATGAATGCCATAGGCCAAGGAGGTTCTCCACTTGCTTATCGTCTTTCCGCTCTTTGTCAGCAGCATACTGCAAATTGTCTCGGAGTAATCGCTTGCGGAGAGATCTTCCTCATTCCAGTACTTATCTCTATGATTTTCGTGTGAGTTCCTTCGCGCTTTATTTTGTATGTATTGG